TGGGGCTCTAATCTGTACCCACTGACCCATCCCTCACCCCTTTATAACTGTTACATCCACCAATGTTTCTATAACAAATCTGAACTATTCCTTTAGCTGACCTACCACCAAAACATTCATTATAGTTCACATGGCTCCCTGTGATGGACCCAAAGCTTTTAGATGAAAGCTGTCTCCACACTTATCAGGGCACTCTAGCTGCCATTTTCCAGGGTCTGTGCAGTACCCCCAGGATGATAAATTGCCTTCAAATGGAACAGTCATTGGGGCACTCTAGCCCGCACGCTCCATGAGAACAGTCATTGGGGCACTCTAGCCTGCGCTCTCCAGGAGAACAGTCATTGGGGCACTCTAGCCTGCGCTCTCCAGGAGAACAGTCATTGGGGCACTCTAGCCTGCGCTCTCCAGGAGAACAGTCATTGGGGCACTCTAGCCTGCGCTCTCCAGGAGAACAGTCATTGGGGCACTCTAGCCTGCGCTCTCCAGGAGAAGTCATTGGGGCACTCTAGCCTGCACTCCCCAAGAGAACAGTCATTGGGGCACTCTAGCCTGCACTCTCCAGAACAGTCATTGGGGCACTCTAACCTGCACTCTCCAGGAGAACAGTCATTGGGGGGCACTCTCCAGGAGAACAGTCATTGGGGCACTCTAACCTGCACTCTCCAGGAGAACAGTCATTGGGGCACTCTAACCTGCACTCTCCAGGAGAACAGTCATTGGGGCACTCTAGTCTGCACTCCCCAGGAGAACAGTCATTGGGGCACTCTAGTCTGCACTCCCCAGGAGAACAGTCATTGGGGCACTCTAGTCTGCACTCCCCAGGAGAACAGTCATTGGGGCACTCTAGTCTGCACTCCCCAGGAGAACAGTCATTGGGGGCACTCTAGCCTGCACTCTCCAGGAGAACAGTCATTGGGGCACTCTAGCCTGCACTCTCCAGGAGAACAGTCATTGGGGCACTCTAGCCTGCACTCTCCAGGAGAACAGTCACGGGGCACTCTATTCTATACCCTCTTACAGCAGAAGGTCTCCAAACTATGGCCTAAGGACCACACATGGCCTGCTATTTCTTGAAGTATTCCTTCATTAAAATTGTATTCCATCATTTATAAAAAAAAATTTTTGCCCATGAATATTTGTAAAATATACAATGCGGCCCTCCTACTGAAAAATTTGGAGACCCGTGCTCTAGAGGAATAGTCACTGGGGGAGCACTCTATTACCAGGGCACTCTGGGGGGGGGGGGGGGGGGGAACAGTCACTTGAACACTGTATTCTTCCATCTTTAGCAGAATAGTCACCAGCAGAATTTTTAGGAGAACACTATTCTGCCCTCTCCAATGGACAATAACCAAGAATTGTATTCTCTCCTCTAACAGCCACTGGGGCACTTGATTCTGTACTCTCCAACAGGACAGTCACTAAGTACTCCATTCTGTACTCTCCAGGGGAACAGTCATCGGGGCACAATATTCTACCTTTTCCAAAAGAATAGCCACCAGGTGCTCCAGTCTGCCCACTCCAATACAACTCCATTCTGCACTCTCCAGCAGGACAGTCACGGAGCACTTTATAATGTGCTCTTCCTTAGAACCGTATACTGCATTCTCCAGCAGGACAGTCACTTAGTCTTTTACATTCCTCTCCCAAATAGAATTCTATTCTGCTTTCTCTAGCAAGACAGTCAACAAGCACTCTATACTGCTCTCTCCAGCAGGACAGTCACTGAGAACTCTACAAGGTGCTCTCTAATAGAGCGCTATACTACTCTCTCCACCAGGACAGTCACTGAGCACCCTATACTGTCTCTCCAGAAAGACAGTCACCAAGCAAGCACTCTATACTGCTCTCTCCAGCAGGACAGTCAGTGAGTATTGCATTCTGCTCTCTCATGTCTCTGAGCTCTCTGTACTGCAGTCTCCAGCAAGACAGTCGACAAGCACTCTATATTACATCCTCCAGCAGACCTCTATACTGCTCTCTCCAGGTCAGTCATCACGCATTCTACATTGCTTAGGACAGTCACCAAGAACTCTATACTGTCCTCTCCCCCCCAGTCAACAAGCACTCTATATTGCTCCCTCTAACAGAACTCTATTCTATTTTCTCCGGCCGGTGTCTACAAGCACTTTATTCTGCACTCTCCTGCAGAACTATATACTGCACTTTCCAGCAAGACAGTCTCTGAGCACTCTGTATTGCATTCTTGAATAGAAATTTATACTGTTTTCTCCAGAAATACAAACAACAAGCACTCTACACTGATCAGTAGAAATCTACACTGCACTATCCAGCAGGACAGTCAACAAGCACTCTATATTGCACTCCCCAGCAGACGTCTATTACACTTTTTCCAGCAAGACAGACTCCGAGCATGCTGCACTGCACTCTCCAGTCTCGGGGGGCTCTGCACTGCACTCTCCAGTCTCGGGGCGCTCTGCACTGCACTCTCCAGTCTCGGGGCGCTCTGCACTGCACTCTCCAGTCTCGGGGCGCTCTGCACTGCACTCTAGCAAGACAGTTACTGAGCACTCTATATTGCATTCTTGAATAGAACTATATACTGTTTTCTCCAGAAATACAAAACAACAAGCACTCTATACTGATCAGGGACGTCTCCAAGCACTCTACACTGCACTATCCATCAGAACAGACAACATGCACTCTATATTGCACTCTCCAACAGAACTCTATCACACTTTTTCCAGCGAGAAAGTCTCTGAGCACTCTGTATTGCATTCTTAAATAGAACTGTATACTGTTTTCTCCAGAAATACAAACACTCCACACTGATCAGTATAAATCTGCACTGCACTATCCAGCAGGACAGTCAACAAGCACTCTCTATTGCACTCTCCAGCAGCAGTCTATTACACTTTTTTTCCCAGCAAGACAGACACTGAGCACTCTGTACTGCTCTCTCCTACAGACCTCTATAGTGCCCTCTCCTATAGATCCCTACTCTGCTCTCCCCTATAGACCTCTATGCTGCTCTCTCCTATAGATCCCTATGCTGCTCTCTCTCTCCTATAGTTCCCTATGCTGCTCTCTCTCTCCTATAGATGCCTACGCTGCTCTCTCCTATAGATCCACGTGCTGCTCTCTCTCCTATAGATCCCTATGCTGCTCTCTCTCCCTCCTATAGATCCCTATGCTGCTCTCTCTCCTATAGATCCCTATACTGTGCTCTCTCTCTCTCTCTCTCTCTTATAGATCCCTATGCTGTGCTCTCTCCTATAGATCCCTATGCTGTGCTCTCTCCTATAGATCCCTATGCTGTGCTCGCTCTCTCTCTCTCTCTCTCCTATAGATCCCTATGCTGTGCTCTCTCCTATAGATCCCTATGCTGTGCTCTCTCTCTCCCCTATAGATCCCCATGCTGTGCTCTCTCTCTCTCCCCTATAGATCCCCATGCTGTGCTCTCTCTCTCCCCTATAGATCCCCATTGTGCTCTCTCTCTCCTATAGATCCCTATGCTGTGCTCTCTCTCCCCTATAGATCCCTATGCTGCTCTCTCCCCCCTATAGACCCCTATGCTGCGCTCTCTCTCCCCTACAGATCCATATGCTGCGCTCTCTCCCCTACAGATCCCTATGTTGCTCTCTCCTACAGATCCATATACTGCGCTCTCTCTCTCTCCCCTATAGATCCCTATGCTGCTCTCTCTCCTCTATAAATCCCTATGCTTCTCTCTCCTATAAATCCCCATGATGCTCTCTCCCCTATAGATCCCTATGCTGCTCTCTCTCCTCTATAAATCCCTATGCTTCTCTCTCCTATAAATCCCCATGATGCTCTCTCCCCTATAGATCCCTATGCTGCTCTCTCCTATAGATCCCTATGCTGCTCTCTCCTATAGATCCCTATGCTGCTCTCTCCTATAGATCCCTATGCTGCTCTCCCCCCTATAGATCTCGATCTCTCTCTCCTATAGATCCCTATGCTGCTCTTCCCTATAGATCCCTATGCTGCTCTCCCCTATAGATCCCTATACCGCTCTCTTCAGCAGGAATAGTTTAGCCCATTCCCCCCTCTCCCTGCACTCTCAGCCTCCCCGTCTATCTGTGGTGCAGCTCTGACAGTCCATATTTCAGGTGTCACGGTCTGTCTCTCCCCTCCTATTGGTCCGTGCAGTCTCCTCTGACAGTCCATGTCTCCGTCCTCTCCCCGGCCCCCCTTTACCTTCTCCGTTGGTCTCCAGTCCCCCGGGCGGCCCCTTCTTGGCTCTCTTTCCCCGCAGTTTGGATAGAGTCCTCCGCAGAGGATCGGCCATTCCTCCCCAGTGCCCCTCAGCAGTGGCAGCGGCTGCCCCGGGCGGCGGAGGGCTCCATGCTGAGGTCGGTGCTCCGCTCTCCGGGGCTCCTCTCCCCGCTGTACATACTTGGAATATTTCTGGGGTGAGAGGCCGCGGACTCGGAGCATGCGCACTCCCCCCGCCCCCTCCGTGAGGCGGGCTCCGGCCTACTGCGCTACGGCTGTGTCAGCGCTGCACCAGAGAAGTCTCTGTGAAGAACATGGTGCGGGCTGTGTGTGCCTGATAAACCTCCCCAAACCGTACATTGTGACAGAGAGGCGCCGTCCTCTCACAGAACGTCTTCTAAATGTTACTGTGGCTGAAAAAAAGGCAGTGCTGAAATCATTGTCACGACTACAGGACCCCCTCTGCCTCATAAAAGGTCCCCTGACCTCTCCCGACACAATATATTCTCATTTTCTCCAGCTTTATAAAGAATGTTCAATATTTCCTCACAGAATATCATAGCAGCCAATAAGGGGGCACACTGAGGGCCTAGGCACGCTCTTAAAGGGTTAACGTTGCAAAGAAACTGTATAGTTCAATGGAACTAAACCCTCCTCCCCTTTCCAGGACAGGAAGCTGCCATCTTATGACCCCTATGCACTAGGCCAGGGGTCTCCAAACTTTCTAAACATAGGGCCAGTTTACTGCTCTCAGTAGACTTTAGAGGGGCCGGACTGTGGCCATTGGGAGTAGAAATTGTCCTGGCCAGGGGCGGACTGACCATTTGGAAACTCAGCACTGCCCGGGGTCAGTAGGGGGCCCCATGAGATGCCCATGGTACCTTTTTCATAGGCTTTTTTGAGTTTGGGAAAGGACACAGGGGCCCCATGATCCCCTATTGCCCGGGAGACCCATGAGTTGTCAGTCCGCCCCTGGTCCTGGCATCAGTGGGAGTACACAACACATGTTTGGTATTAGTGGGAGGAATAGTGCCCCTTCATTGGTGTCAGTGGGAGGAATAGTGCCCCTTCATTGGTGTCAGTGGGAGGAGTAGTGCCCCTTCATTGGTGTCAGTGGGAGGAATAGTGTCCTATTGTTGGAGTCATTGAGAGAAAATAGTGCCCCTTCATTGGTGTCAGTGGGAGGAGTAGTGCCCCTTCATTGGTTGCAGTGGGAGGAGTAGTGGCCCTTCATTGGTGTCAGTGGGAGGAAATAGTGTCCTATTGTTGGAGTCATTGAGAGAAAATAGTGCCCCTTCATTGGTGTCAGTGGGAGGAGTAGTGCCCCTTCATTGGTTGCAGTGGGAGGAGTAGTGGCCCTTCATTGGTGTCAGTGGGAGGAATAGTGTCCTATTGTTGGTGTCAGTGGATGGAATAGTGTTCCATCATTGGTATAACCTACACTATATTGCCAAAAGTATTGGGCCCACCCTCCAAATCATTGGATTCAGGTGTTCCAATCACCTCCATGGCCACAGGTGTATAAAATCAAGCACCTAGTAAAATGACAGAGTGGGGTCAGCGCATGATGAAGCGCACAGTGCGCAGAAGTCGCCAACTGTCTGCAGAGTTAATAGCTAAAGACCTCCAAACTTCATGTGGCCTTCAGATTAGCACAACAAGAGTGCATAGAGAGCTTCATGGAATGGGTTTCCATGGCCGAGCAGCTGCATCCAAGCCTTACATCACCAAGTGCAATGCAAAGCGTCGGATGCAGTGGTGTTAAGCACGCCGCCACTGGACTCTATAACAATGGAGACGTGTGTTCTCTGCAGTGACCATTCACGCTTCTGTCTGGCAATCCCATGGACGTGTCTGGGTTTGGCAGTTGCCAGGAGAACGGTACTTGCCTGACTGCATTGTGCCAAGTGTAAAGTTTGGTGGAGGGGAGATTATGGTGTGGGGTTGTTTTTCAGAAGTTGGGTTTGGCCCCCTAGTTCAAGTGAAGGGAACTCTTAAGACATCAGCATACCAAGACGTTTTGGACAATTTCATGCTCCAAACTTTGTGGGAACAGTTTGGGGATGGCCCCTTCCTCTTCCAACATGACTGCACACCAGTGCACAAAGCAAGGTCCATAAAGACATGGGTGAGTGAGTTTGGGGTGTAGGAACTAGACTGGCCTGATGTCACGTGCCAGCGCCATTTCAACGACGTTCTATGATGAGAATGGCGCCATTTTAGAATGTAAAAGGGCAGGGGTCTCCAAACTTTTCAGTATAGGGGGCATACCAATACCAATGACCTACTAACTGCCAAAACCAGTGGCCACTATACTATACTCCTACTACTTGACCTCTCTGTGGCTTTTGACACGGTTGACCACCCCCTTCTCCTCAAAAAACTGCATTCTCTTGGCCTCAGAGACTCCGCTCTCTCCTGGTAGTCCTCCTATCTATCGCAGAGCTCCTTCAGTGTTACCTATAACGCTGCCACCTCCCCTTCACTCCCTCTTTCTTTAGGGGTCCCTCAAGGTTCTGTCCTCGGACCCCTCCTCTTCTCCATCTACACTCCTCCTCCCTTGGCCAATTGATAAACTCCCACGGCTTCAACTACCATCTCTATGCCGATGACACACAAATCTATCTCTCTACCCCTCACCTCACCCCCTCAGTCTCCAATCGCATCACCAGCCTACTAAGTGACATATCGGACTGGATGTCACTCCACTTCCTCAAACTCCTCCTTTCCAAAACTGAGGTCCTAGTATTCCCCCCAGCCCGTGCCCCCCCCCCCCCCCCGACTTCTCCATCAAGATCAATAACACTATCATCAGTCCCACCCCTCACACCAGGGTACTAGGTGTAATCCTAGACTCCAATCTGTCATTTCAGCCCCAGGTCCAAACGCTGACTTCACCTCCACAACATCTCCAAGATACGACCGTTCCTAACCTCGGAAACCACTAAGCAACTCATTCACTCCCTTATTATATCACACCTTGACTACAGTAACTCCCTCCTCACTGGCCTACCTCATCGCAGGCTATCCCCACTCCAGTCCATCATGAATGCTGCTGCCAGACTCATTCACCTTACTAACCGCTCTGTATCTGCCACCCCTCTCTGCCAATCCCTCCACTGGCTTCCAATTGCCCAACGGATAAAATTCAAAATGCTAACACTGATGTATAAAGCTGTTCATAACACTGCCCCTAATTACATCACCGACCTTGTCTCTAAATACCACTCAAACCGTACTCTCCGCTCCTCGCAAGACCTCCTACTCTCTAGCTCCCTTGTCTCCACCTCCCATGCTCGTCTCCAGGATTTCTCAAGGGCTTCACCCATCCTCTGGAACTCCCTACCCCAATCTATCAGGCTTTCGCCTACTCTGCTCACTTTTAGGCGTACTCTGAAAACCCATCTCTTCAGGGAAGCCTACCCCGACCCCAGCTAATACTGGAATCCTCTACTCTTCCTACCACTCCATCCCCCACAGCTAATTACCTCTTGTACCACTATCCCCTCCCTCCTAGATTGTAAGCTCCAAGGAGCAGGGCCCTCTAATCCCTTTTGTATTGAACTGTATTGTTACTGTACTGTCTCCCTCCATAATGTAAAGCACTGAGACAACTGTCAGCGCTATATAAGTCCTGTATAATAATAATAATACTGTATGTTTTACCAACAATTGCAGGCCAAAAAAAATCACAGAGTCCTCCTTACATCAGAGTTGCCCCCTTATATCAAGGTCTCCATTAGGTTCCCTTTTATGCCAGGATCCCCATCAGAGTCCCTATAGATCAGAATTCCCATCAGAGTTTCCCCTTACATCAGGGTCCCCATCAGAGCCCATGCTTACTTCAAAGTTCCCTCTTTACAGAGTAGGGGTGCAGGTTTGGAGGGGGGAACAGCATAGACCAAAGGTAGCCTCTGATCACTTTAATTCCCAGTCTGTGCACACTGAGGATATGCCACTGACCTTAAATGAGGGCCAGATAAAATCTTGTAGCGGGTCAGATGTGGCCAACAGGCCATAATTTGGAGACCCATGGCCTAGAACAATAGCAGACACATTATTCCATATTGTTCATAGCAGCACAGTTTGTTTGATTTACTGGCACCCTTCTGTAGACAGAATTGGACCTGGAGGTACAGCCAACAGAAAAAATGAATTAAGTTCCATCATTAGCATCAGTGAAGTGAGAGTTAAAAAAAGCCCCATGTCATTTGGAGTAAATAAATCCCAACTTTGGTGTCAGTGTGAGCAAAAAAGTCCTATTATTGGTGTCAGCAGACATAAAAAATATATAGGTAGGTCCCATCTTGGGGTCAGTAGAAGTAGGTAAGTCTCATCATTAGACACTGTGGGATAAAATAGGCTCTATTTGGTTGGTGTCAGTGGAAACAAGAATGAGTAACTATAAGTTGTGTACTGGCTGCTTCTCACCCACACCCGAGAGCACTGTCCAAAGCAGGGTGCTGTATTACAGATTAGCCAACAAATGGGAATACCAGTGGGGGAAGGGCAAGGCCCATAAAATTATCATTGTTTCCAGTCCATAGAGATCAAACTTTCTTGAATTTCTAGAAAATGATTAGTATCCGTGCATAGGCTCCATTCATATGGGCTGTGGTCAGTTTGATCAACAGAAGATTAATTACCAGATTCCCTACTGAATGTTGAATCTGAGCAGACTGGGAGGTAACTGGACACCCATAGACTAACATGGATCTTCCAATCAGAACTGCCTGAAAAAATGACAGCCAGACCTGATCAGACCTCCCATGTGAAAGGGGTCGATATCATGTCAGTTTTTCCAGGGACAAGATTTAGGCCCTTTCACACGGGCAGACTCCACCAAGCGTATCAAGGGATCTGTCTGCTGATCCCTCTGAGCAGGCAGATAGGGGATCGTGGGGCCCCTGTGTCCTTGCCCAAACTCAAAAAAGCCTATGAAAAAGGTACCAGGGGCATCTCATGGGGCCCCTTACTGACCCCGGGCCCTCGGGCAGTGCCCGAGTTTCCAAATGGTCAGTCCGCCCCTGGTGCGGACATAGACACAGCCCACTGTTCTCTTTGGGGCGGTCGGAATTTAAATGGACCGCCTGTCCATTTACACCCGATGGCCATCCGATCCGCTAGACAGATGGGAAATGGATCCCCATCCGTCTGTTTTTAGCAGATAGGATCAGATTAGATGTCGGAGGTTGTAAATGGACCAGGGGCGGACTGACCATTCAGGCACTCGGGCAGTGCCAGAGGGCCCAGGGTCAGTAGGGGCCCCATGAGATGCCCCTGGTACCTTTCATAGGCTTTTTTGGGTGTGATTTGATTGTGGGCATGGACACAGGGGCCCCATGATCCCCTATTGCCCGGAGGCCCCATGAGTTGTCAGTCTGCCCCTGAAATGGACATGTGTCCTCCATAGAGGACATTGGAGGGTGTGATCGGGTCCGCCTAAAAAACTGACAGGTGGACCCAGCCTTAAACTTTCAAAATTTGCAATAATTTCTAACAAACCAATTGAGTACTATCTGTGAAACTTTTTCTTAATTTTATTTTTGGCCAGATGTTGCAGCCAATATACCAAAACAAAAATCACAGTTTTCTTTTCAGTAGTAGGGTTAAAATTGAACTGATGGTACTAGTGGTAAAGACTAAACAGTGTGTGTTAGTGATATGGCCAGGGGCGGACTGACCATTTGGAAACTCCGTCACTGCCCGAGGGCCCAGGGTCGGTAGGGGGCCCCATGAGATGCCCCTGGTACCTTTTTCATAGGCTTTTTTGAGTTGTTTTGGGCAAGGACACGGGGGCCCCATGATCCCCTATTGCCCGGGGGCCCCATGAGTTGTCAGTCAGCCCCTGGATATGGCGGTCTGTTATCTAGCAATTGGAAGAAGGGGGAAGTCCTCTGCTAATTGAACATGGAATATAATATAGGTGGGAGGTAAAAGATCAAATGGGGGGGTCATTAGGTAATAGTCTTGTCTGATACCACTGAGTGTATTGAAAATATTGAATTATGGATTGTTGGGTATTTGTAGGCAGCGCTTAAACAAAAGATTTCCAAACACTGAAAAATGTGTGGACCTGTGTTTCCTTATGGCCTCCACCCATTCCATGCAGAAAATATAATCCAAATATGCCGGATGGCATTCTGTGCCATAAAAGATATTCGGGGACATTTACTAGAACTGGATTGCTCACAATCTGGTGCAGATGTGCATGGTAGCCAATCAACTTCTAACTCCAGCTTTTTCAATTAAGTTTTGACAAGATAAACCTGGACGCTGATTGGTTTCTATTCACAGCTGCACCAGATTTTGCACTCTCTAGTTTTAGTAAATCAACCCCATTTAATGGAACTAACAAACATTTTCAGGACAAGTTTCGGGTAATACCCCCTTCTTCTATAGTCCAAACAACACTCAAAAATTTCCAGAGACACGGCAGCTGAGTTATGTAGGCTATTCATGCTATTGCCTTGGAGGTTCACAGAACACAACAATCCCATCATGACATATTTACTAAAATTGATGATCAGAAATTTCCTTGTGGCAAGTTTGAACAGAACATCATTTACGGAGGTCCATAGTGAAACAAAGTAGACTTGTTTTAGTCATCATTGCTGAAGCTGTTAATCTACTTGTCTGTCACAAATAACTAGGTCATGCCTCAAGGTCAAATACCGTTCCTTGTAAGCAGTGACCTTTAACGGACACCCACCTGGAAGAGGGCAAGATTCCTGTACATATGCTGCCAACGTATGTATGGAAAGAAAGTCTTTTGTGCAGAATCCAGATAGAGACTCTAGGGGGCCTATTTATAAAGTGGCAAATGATTGATTTGCCTATCATTCAGCATGATCATTGGACGTTTTGTCTTATTTATAAAACCAGTCTCCTTCTACATTGGTCAAAGCAGCCACAATCTAACATTTGTCTAACGTCAGTAATTCCCTTCAGTGGAAATTCTAGTTCACGGTAACATGAGATGTGTTATTATTACTATTATTATTGTTATTACACAGGATTTATATATTTCCAAAAGTATGTGCAGCATTTTACTAAATAAATGGAGACAGTACAGTTACAGTACAATTAATACAAGATGGTAAAAGTGGGTCAATACAAGATGGTAAAAGTGGGGTACACGCTATGGGTGGGCCGATGACGTCAAGCCGCTAAACCGGACGTTTACGAGCCGCCATCTTGGAAACTCCTGAACACATTGGAATTATATTGTAACAATGCTTTTTTACTGTGGTGTCCCAGCAGGACACTTTTAAATGTGAGTGCACTTTGTTTTTTTAAATAAATCACACAATATTTAAGTACTACACTATGGCAAGCGTTTCTGTTTACATATGTGGAGGATATGTGGGATAAAGAGGAGACGAGTCCATCTACAGCAGAGTGAGGAGGAGAGTGGAGCCAACAATAAAATATACCTACCCGGGTTAAAAGGGAAAGTCGGTATTTGACCTATGCAATTTGGGTGATATAAGGAGGTGAGAGTATTAGAGATGAGCGAAGTATTCAAAAATTCGATTCGGCTGATTCGGCGAATTCGAGGAATAAATTCGATTCGAGGCGAATATATTCGCTGCGAATTTAACTTTAAAAAGGGTGTTTCTAGGCTTCAGAGAGCCTTTATATTAGTGCAGAACACTGTACCTTTAATTTAAATGCCCTTGGAGTCTGCTGGGGAAGAGAAATAATACTGTCAGTCAGTATGACATGCAGATGAGTGCCGTCGATCTTAGAATCACCGCACACTTCACTCATTTGGGCAGTCACGGGGCCAAAACCAGAGTGTGGAGCCACAGTGTGGCGGTGGAGGCAGCAGCAATGGGAGGCCATACAGCACCCTATGACAAAAGGGAACCCACCAGCAGTGTGAGGAGACCTGAAAGTGGCACATGGCAGAGTGTGGCGATGGAGACAGCAGCAATGGGTGCCGTACAGGGACCCATGAGAGACTCTGGACCTGGCAGCAGCATGAGGAGGTGGTACAGGGGCCCATGACAGATTACGGGCCTGGCAGCAGCATGAGGAGTCGGTACGGGGCCCATTACAGATTACGGGCCTGGCAGCAGCAATGGGAGGCCCGTAACCTGCCAGCACCCTATGACAAAATGGAACCCACCAGCAGTGTGAGGAGACCTGAAAGTGGCACATGGCAGAGTGTGGCGATGGAGACAGCAGCAATGGGAGGCCGTACAGGGACCCATGAGACACTCTGGACCTGGCAGCAGCATGAGGAGGCGGTACGGGGGCCCATGGCAGATTACGGTCCCTGGCAGCAGCAATGGGAGGCCCGTAATCTGCCAGCACCCTATGACAAAATGGAACCCACCAGCAGTGTGAGGAGACCTGAAAGTGGCACATGGCAGAGTGTGGCGATGGAGACAGCAGCAATGGGAGGCCGTACAGGGACCCATGACACACTCTGGACCTGGCAGCAGCATGAGGAGGCGGTACGGGGGCCCATGGCAGATTACGGGCCTGGCAGCAGCAATGGGAGGCCCGTAATCTGCCAGCACCCTATGACAAAATGGAACCCGCCAGCAGTGTGAGGAGACCTGAAAGTGGCACATGGCAGAGTGTGGCGATGGAGACAGCAGCAATGGGAGGCCGTACAGGGACCCATGAGACACTCTGGACCTGGCAGCAGCATGAGGAGGCGGTACGGGGGCCCATGGCACATTTCGGGCCTGGCAGCAGCAATGGGAGGCCCATAATCTGCCAGCACCCTATGACAAAATGGAACCCACCAGGGTGTGTGTGAGGAGACCTGAAAGTGGCACATGGCAGAGTGTGGCGATGGAGACAGCAGCAATGGGAGGCCAGCAGCACATGGACCTGGGCCATGAGGATGGCAGGGACCCATGAGACACTGGACCTGGCAGCAGCATGAGGAGGCGGTACGGGGGCCCATGGCAGATTACGGGCCTGGCAGCAGCAATGGGAGGCCCGTAATCTGCCAGCACCCTATGACAAAATGGAACCCACCAGCAGTGTGAGGAGACCTGAAAGTGGCACATGGCAGAGTGTGGCGATGGAGACAGCAGCAATGGGAGGCCGTACAGGGACCCATGAGACACTCTGGACCTGGCAGCAGCATGAGGAGGCGGTACGGGGGCCCATGGCAGATTACGGGCCTGGCAGCAGCAATGGGAGGCCCGTAATCTGCCAGCACCCTATGACAAAATGGAACCCACCAGCAGTGTGAGGAGACCTGAAAGTGGCACATGGCAGAGTGTGGCGATGGAGACAGCAGCAATGACCTGGAGGCCGTACAGGGACCCATGAGACACTCTGGACCTGGCAGCAGCATGAGGACACGGGGGCCCATGGCAGATTACGGGCCTGGCAGCAGCAATGGGAGGCCCGTAATCTCTGCAGCACCCTATGGACAAAATGGAACCCACCAGCAGTGTGACGAGACCTGAAAGTGGCACATGGCAGAGTGTGGCGATGGAGACAGCAGCAATGGGAGGCCGTACAGGGGACCCATGAGACGCTCTGGACCTGGCAGCAGCATGAGGAGGCGGTACGGGGGCCATGGCAGATTACGGGCCTGGCAGCAGCAATGGGAGGCCCGTAATCTGCCAGCACCCTATGACAAAATGGAACCCACCAGCAGTGTGAGGAGACCTGAAAGTGGCACATGGCAGAGTGTGGCGATGGAGACAGCAGCAATGGGAGGCCGTACAGGCAGGGACCCATGACACACTCTGGACCTGGCAGCAGCATGAGGAGGCGGTACGGGGGCCCATGGCAGATTACGGGCCTGGCAGCAGCAATGGGAGGCCCGTAATCTGCCAGCACCCTATGACAAAATGGAACCCACCAGCAGTGTGAGGAGACCTGAAAGTGGCACATGGCAGAGTGTGTGGCGATGGAGACAGCAGCAATGGGAGGCCGTACAGGGACCCATGACAGATTACGGGCCTGGCAGCAGCATGAGGAGGCGGTACAGGGGCCCATGACAGATTACGGGCCTGGCAGCAGCAATGGGAGGCCCGTAATCTGCCAGCACCCTATGACAAAATGGAACCCACCAGCAGTGTGAGGAGACCTGAAAGTGGCACATGGCAGAGTGTGGCGATGGAGACAGCAGCAATGGGAGGCCGTACAGGGACCCATGACAGATTACGGGCCTGGCAGCAGCATGAGGAGGCGGTACAGGGGCCCATGACAGATTACGGGCCTGGCAGCAGCAATGGGAGGCCCGTAATCTGCCAGCACCCTATGACAAAATGGAACCCACCAGCAGTGTGAGGAGACCTGAAAGTGGCACATGGCAGAGTATGGCGATGGAGACAGCAGCAATGGGAGGCCGTACAGGGACCCATGACAGATTACGGGCCTGGCAGCAGCATGAGGAGGCGGTACAGGGGCCCATGGCAGATTACGGGCCTGGCAGCAGCAATGGGAGGCCCATAATCTGCCAGCACCCTATGACAAAATGGAACCCACCAGCAGTGTGAGGAGACCTGAAAGTGGCACATGGCAGAGTGTGGCGATGGAGACAGCAGCAATGGGAGGCCGTACAGGGACCCATGACAGATTACGGGCCTGCAGCAGCATGAGGAGGCGGTACAGGGGCCCATGACAGATTACGGGCCTGGCAGCAGCATGAGGATGGGCGGTACAGGGGCCCATGACAGATTACGGGGCCTGGCAGCAGCAATGGGAGGCCCGTAATCTGCCAGCACCCTATGACAAAATGGAACCCACCAGCAGTGTGAGGAGACCTGAAAGTGGCACATGGCAGAGTGTGGCGATGGAGACAGCAGCAATGGGAGGCCGTACAGGGACCCATGACACACTGGACCTGGCAGCAGCATGAGGAGGCGGTACAGGGGCCCATGGCAGATTACGGGCCTGGCAGCAGCAATGGGAGGCCCGTAATCTGCCAGCACCCTATGACAAAATGGAACCCACCAGCAGTGTGAGGAGACCTGAAAGTGGCACATGGCAGAGTGTGGCGATGGAGACAGCAGCAATGGGAGGCCGTACAGGGACCCATGACAGATTACGGGCCTGGCAGCAGCATGAGGAGGCGGTACAGGGGCCCATGACAGATTACGGGCCTGGCAGCAGCAATGGGAGGCCCGTAATCTGCCAGCACCCTATGACAAAATGGAACCCACCAGCAGTGTGAGGAGACCTGAAAGTGGCACATGGCAGAGTGTGGCGATGGAGACAGCAGCAATGGGAGGCCGTACAGGGACCCATGACAGATTACGGGCCTGGCAGCAGCATGAGGAGGCGGTACAGGGGCCCATGACAGATTACGGGCCTGGCAGCAGCATGAGGAGGCGGTACAGGGGCCCATGACAGATTACGGGCCTGGCAGCAGCAATGGGAGGCCCGTAATCTGCCAGCACCCTATGACAAAATGGAACCCACCAGCAGTGTGAGGAGAGCTGAAAGTGGCACATGGCAGAGTGTGGCGATGGAGACAGCAGCAATGGGAGGCCGTACAGGGACCCATGACACACTACTGGACCTGGCAGCAGCATGAGGAGGCGGTACAGGGGCCCATGGCAGATTACGGGCCTGGCAGCAGCAATGGGAGGCCCGTAATCTGCCAGCACCCTATGACAAAATGGAACCCACCAGCAGTGTGAGGAGACCTGAAAGTGGCACATGGCAGAGTGTGGCGATGGAGACAGCAGCAATGGGAGGCCGTACAGGGACCCATGACAGATTACGGGCCTGGCAGCAGCATGAGGAGGCGGTACAGGGGCCCATGACAGATTACGGGCCTGGCAGCAGCAATGGGAGGCCCGTAATCTGCCAGCACCCTATGACAAAATGGAACCCACCAGCAGTGTGAGGAGACCTGAAAGTGGCACATGGCAGAGTGTGGCGATGGAGACAGCAGCAATGGGAGGTCGTACAGGGACCCATGACACACTCTGGACCTGGCAGCAGCACTGAGGAGGCGGTACAGGGGGCCCATGACAGATTACGGGCCTGGCAGCAGCAATGGGAGGCCCGTAATCTGCCAGCACCCTATGACAAAATGGAACCCACCAGCAGTGTGAGGAGACTGAAAGTGGCACATGGCAGAGTGTGGCGATGGAGACATGGGCCCCCTGGCACGCTTGACTTTCTGGCCACATAGTCGACATACGGCTACGTTTACTTCCTCGGGCGCTTGACGAAAAAAAAATTGCACACCGCCGAGTAGGAAACTTTGCCCCCGCTACTCCTCACTGGCTGACTGCTACTTCCTCCGTGCACACCGGCACCACTACTGGCCGTGGTGGTAGGCTGCAGTGGAGCTGGTGCTCTACTCCGTGGCCGTTTGCCTCCACTGACACTGCTGCGACCCTGCTGCCTCCTGGGCAACCCACCGACTGTTTTGCTCGCTGCCAAGCTGCCACCCTCTTCTCCTGATGATGCGGAAGCAATAGCCTGATGACGACGAGGCTGCCAAGTGCAATCAGCCTCATCATCATCAATTAGGGTCTCTGCCTCACTACTAGCCCCCTCGGCTGCGTGTGGGTCAGGAGACAGACCTGTCTCTAGACCGGCTACCGAGCCACTCTCCTCGCCAGTACTTCTTCGCCTGGCTGCTGAAGAGGCGGATGTCTCCCCCCGTTCCTGACCGCCCTCTGTTAGCTCTTCCTCACTGTACAGTGGGGCTGAGCCCACAGCATGCGATACTTCGCTTGGTGAGGGAACACCAAAGGACAGGGGCAGGTAGAGGACACGTGATTTCAGTGGGCTTGCTCCCGGGCCATGCCAACTAACGGTTGTGTCTGACGTATATGCACGGATAAAATCACATATGAAGGACTATAAGTTGTAATCATTGTATTCACAAGTGTTCAATAATCACATATTTTGGATGTTTTTGATGTACGTAGGAGATTGTATATAAGTATATAGGGTTATATGTGCAGCACTAATATATGCTACACGCTATGAGAAAAGCAGAAGAAAAATTCCATACAAGGACTGATCATTCGATTTTCGTATAGTGTGTACACAACTTTTGACATCCAACTCACACTTTCCAAACGAAAAATTCAGAAAGGACAAACCCCAAATTTGTTCTTGTACGTGAACCGAACTAATGATTTTTGTTTAATGTGTACTGTTTTTGAACAAGAAAAATCGGATACAAAGACTGTGCATGCATGCAAAAAAAAAGCCTTTCTTCGAAAATTTTTGTACAGTTAATACCATCCTCAGGTTCTACTTGCTGTGAAACATGGAGGAAAAGCAGAGAATCGTTTGCCCGATTTTCTTATATTTTCTTATTTGTGTACCCAGCTTAAGAGGCTCCTGCTTGTGAAATCTTACAATTAAAAAGGGATATGATTATTATTATGCAGGATTTATATAACGCCAACAGTTTGCGCAGCACTTTACAAAACGAAGGTAGACATTACAGTTACAATATAATGTGGTACAAGAGGAATCAGACGGCCCTGTGCGTTAGAGCTTACAATCTAAAAGGGAACAGCCAATATTACTTTTGCCAGCTTTGATTACACTGAAACACATTTTGAAATGACAAATTATTTTATTATGTACCTGCATCCATCTACTGTATCTATCTATCTATAGTCTATCTATCTATCTATCTATCTATCTATCTATCTATCTATATCTATCTATCTATCTATCTATGACACTCTGTTATGCAAAACGTAAAGAGCTTCAACCCCTGCCCCCACCCTGGGGTTAATTTTAAAACGAACCCCCTCTTACCTGGTCTGCTGGAATGAGTTTAAATAACTTGCAGGATTTACTAACCAGAGGAACTGCACATGCAAAGTGCACAGGGGGGAAACGCAGTTCTGGCACCTCCAGCACTGAGTGTATGTAATGGAAAGGGATGCTGGGGTGTGCTGGAGGGACTATTGATGCTGGCTGCTGGGGGATATATTGTAGTTGGAGGGGATCTATTTTTAAATGGGGGTCTATTGTTGCTGGCGGGGAATCTATAGTTGCTGAGGTGGAGGGATCTTATGTTGCTGGGGGTCAAATGTTGCTGGGAGGGATCTACTGTTGATGGAGAGTTCTATTGATGCTGGCTGCTGGCAGATCTGTTGTTGCTGGGCTGGTATTTTTGAGGAGGGTCCATTGTTGCTGGGGGA